AATACTACATTTATCTTTCACAAATTTGATTTTATAACATAATTAATTTTATCACATCATAACAAATAAATAGATGAATTGCTTTTTAAAAATAAAAAATATAAATACTCAACTAATGTCACGAAGTAATGAATTCTTTATTTGTTTAACGTAAAATTTTTCCAAAGTTTGAAATCATTTTTAACTATCTATTTTAAAATAAAAAGAAAGGTCAATTCATCATTAATAAAATTTGCCACATAAGCAACCAATAAAGACTTGCCATCTCACCTTAATATAACCCACATAAGCTTGACACTTGGTGATTTCCTAGCAAACGGAGTCTCAAATATTATATTAAAGGATTATATTTTTTATAACTAAAAAGAAATTTTTATACAATCCTTTTTTAATCATGAAACATTATAAAAGCTTAAGTGAGATTGTAACAAAAAGCACCATAGCTTGGATGGTTAGGAACTCAACTAAATGACTAAGAGATCCTTGTTTCAAACCCCATGGTGGTATGTTTTTGGAAAAAAATTGCAAAAATAGAACTGGTCTGACCGGTCAAACCGATCGGTTTGTCTAAAAGTGTGACACATCAGCTCGCCACATGTCGTGCTTTAGTTTTGCCAAATGTCGCGTTCTTATAGCTCCGACTCTACTTTATATATATAAAGGATTGCACATGTGTGCGTGTTGTGCCAAGCCAAGCCGGGCGGACGACGGCGGTGCGCAAGGAGTCTTTTCCTTCCTTTTTCAAATTGCTTTTAACATACCATCCGATGCTAGCATATATATAGTGAAAGATTAAAGTTCCCAAAACCGATGTGGGATACATGAGTGTCCTCCTTCAAGTATCCGATTTTGTGAATTAATTTCTTATTCAACTGAGCACTATTTTTGGCGCACAATATGTCGAAATACTCGTCTTACTTGGAAGATTATTTGTCCATGATTATACTGGAAAAATATTTTTATAGACCCCACCGAGTTAACGTTCGAAGTTGTCCGGTACAAGCCAAAAATTCCAACACCTAAACTCCATCTCCACCCTGGCCTGGCCACATAGAACTATCCTCCATCAATGCACTATTGTCACCATTTTGTGTAAAATAATACTTTTGATGTACGGAGTAATTTTTAAAAGTAAATTTTTAATTCTACAAATATTTTAAAATAAATTCAATCAATTATCATAAATTAGTGTCTTTTATTTTGGGTTGGAGATAGTATTATTTTTACAATATTTAAATGCATCCTCCTGTGAAAAAACAAATACAAGTATATAAGAAGTATGGAGCTGCAAAGGAGTGTCTTCAAGTCTTTCAAGATCCCGGGATCGAGTGTCAGATAAGTTCATCCTATTCAATTCTTTCAAGATTATAACACACCATTTCTTCGAGTCCTATTCGAAAAGGACTCAGAGGAAGGCACTTGAGATTCAGAATGGCCATATCTGCTTTCTCTTTTGCCAGTTCTTGAGCTCTCTCAATTCCTCCACAACTTTTGATAACCTCGATCGCCTTCTCCAGAGATCCAGTTTCAGAAAATTCATATCTAATCATGTCTCTCAGCTTCGGCTCCTTCTGTAGCGCAAAGATCACTGGCGCGGTGAGGTTTCCTTTTGCCAGATCACTTCCAGCTGGCTTCCCTAACTGCTGAGCGGATTGAGTGAAGTCCAATATGTCGTCAACAATCTGAAATGACAGGCCAAGATTCCTTCCGTACTGATACATCTGTTCGCTTATGTCATTTTGGACCCCGCTAAATATGGCAGCTCCTTTCGTGCTAGCTGCAATTAAGGAAGCTGTTTTATAGTAACTCTTGATCAAGTATTCCTCCAGTTCAACATCACAATCAAACAAACTCGATGCTTGCTTAATTTCACCACTCGCGAAATCCTTAATGACCTGTCAATATGTCCCCAAACACTGAACACATTAACTGAACTAGATTCGGTCCACATATCATCAACCTTGAATGAGAATTGTGTTTAAAGAATATTAAGAAAGACTGTGACCCGTTTGGAAAGAGTAAATTTTGAATGGAAAGCTGCAGGTTACTGAAATTGGCAAATAGTCTAAGTTATCATCCCCAAAGAAGAAAAAGGTAAGTTTCAAGAACTTCCATTTTGGCCTACATTTTTTCATTTCCAGTCAAATGAGTAGGTGTTTGGTATATAAAATAAATTATTGATAAGGGGGGTTTGCGGAATGATTCAACAGTCAGAGTTGCATTCTAAAGCTGCAGAAATGGAAGTAAATGCTACAATACCTGGCTTATTAGCTTTATGACTTCAAGGTTTTCAAGGTTAGCTAGGCACCAAGATGATTGCGCAAACATAAAATCACCAGCCAGCACTGCAACCTTTGTACCAAATAAGTGATGGACTGTTTTCTTTCCTTCAAAAAAAAAAGAGTGAACAAGGATCTTGAATTTATTCGTTTTTGCGGCCACATTCAGTTTTAGTATAATCAAAATAGAGGCAAACCTCTACGCATGTCACTTTCATCCAAAACATCATCATGTATCAAACTTGCAGTGTGGATCATTTCTATGATTTCAGCTAGCTGCCTATGATCCTTGGTTAATTCCCTGATCCAAAAAACAAATCTAAGTAAGCTGGATCATCATAGTACACGATTGAGTGCATGGTAATTACTGAAATAGGAAGTACTGGCCCTCACGTCAGGCCAACCATCTCTGCCGTGGCTCGGGCAACAAGAAAAACCAAAGCAGGTCTCATCCGTTTCCCGCCAGCACCAAATATCTGCTTTGCAGCAGAAATTAAAACCGGGTTTTCTGCACCTACAATCTAAGAGTTGGATTCAATCAGACTTGTGTAAAAAAAACTTTATTAATGATCTTATGGGTGGTTAAGGATAATAGAGCGCCAGCTAAAATGGCATAACAGTCAAAGTTGGATCAGATACAAATCAAAGAGTAAGCTTATGAAAACAATTAAAAGCGCGAAAAAACTCCATTGTTCACACTATTATGTTTTAAACGCACAATTACTCCATTGAAGAACTCTCCTAGCCATACTCCCACCTGTTAAGCAACAATTCCCTTTCGTAAGATCCTGATAAAAGAAGTAATATAGAATGCACAGTTTTGCTACATAATACTCCAGGTAACTTGATTAAAGTCAAAACTATTCTCCATAAGGTTCCAGAAAATAATGCAAGTGTCACATTTATCTTTGGGTCCACTGATACGCTTCATAACTTGTAGCTGTACAACCACTCTACTATAAGTGTTCACACCTCATGCCTGCTGTTGTGCCTACCATCAGTTCCAACCACAAGATTAATGTTTTGTAGTTCATACATAGAATAATTTAGGCCCTTCAACTTTCCCACTATTATGGGCAAGTCTAAATTGTTTGATAGTTCACAGCAAAACCTTTGACATCAAAACGAACTCCAAGCTATTCCTATTTATTCATGTCCATGTCCAAAGAAAGTCTCTGCTCTGCTAAATGTTGGAAAAATAAAAATAATTTTATTTTTGTGACTGCACTTAGAAAAATAAAACATTCTAAGTTGCCTACGTACCCCAATGAAGGAGATCAAGCCACACGTAGTTCAAAACAGGGTTGGTTAAATTAATCGGATAAATCTTCAAGGCGCGTGATCCTTGGAAACGCTTTCCTAAAAGTTTCTTATCCTATTATAAGCAACAAGGGTTACAAGATAGGACTTTTGGGATACAATGAAGAAGACCAAATTGTTCGGTTGCTCTACGAAACAATTTGTTAATGTACTTTAACGAGACTTGTCTCGAGACAAAGGAAAAAACATAAAAAAATACACTAATTAATATTTCATCATCATAGAATAAATATAAGAAATAAATACATTTTTTCTTCATTATTCTAAATAATCAATGAAATAATAATTAATAATAAATCATTTTTCTAACATAATTTTTTCCCTTCCTTTTGCATTATGACATGGGCCCTATTTATAGAAAATAATATGTCCCTTTATAAATGATCATGTCTCTTTTGTAAGAGACACACCCATTTAATTAAAAACTTCCAATTTAAATTCAAAATAAATATTCAAGAGTTATGTCATTTAAGAATAAACATGTCTCTTCAAAGAGTTGTGCCCATTTATTTAAAATTCAATTTTGAATTCAAAATAAATCTCCAACACTAAATAACCTTTAAAGAAACTTAACCGTTGGAATAAACCTTACGAAACCTTATTAACCTTAATAGTCTCTGTCATGTCCACAATGTGTTTCTCCATTACCTTTTCTAAGCTGCACCCTTATTGTGTCCAACGTTGCATATTAAGGAAATTCTTTACCAAAATATAAGAGTTAGGCCAAACCTACACTCTTAAGCAAGCTTGTGCATATAAGTAGGGCTTTATTTATTGTTGTTTTCTATGGAGTACTTTACAGTTTACACCAACAAACCTTGTGTAATCCAAGAAATGTGTTTTGGGGAGGGCCGAGGGCATGACTTATGCACACCTTACCTCTACCCAGGAAGGGACATGACTCGTGTTTAAGCTAAAATTCAAAAACCCATATCACGCAGAGAGTTAGGCCAAAAATCTAATCTTGAGCTAGCATTTAGGGCTTGACTCCTATCGAATCTTTTCTCACAATCAAACAAACTTTAATACCCCAGAAAGAGGCATCACTTAGCAGGCATATAACAAAAAAAACAGAAGTTCTTCAAAGGAGCAAGTTAGAAGGGGGGAAAAAGAAGCAACTTAAAATCAACACTCACAGACTGTAAGTTCTTGTTCAGTGTACTGAGGTCATCAGCAACCAACTCAAACAGACTTGTTAGAGAAACTGGACCTCTAGACTTCCCCATCAAACTCAACACAGGAGAAGAAGCAGGTGCAAAAGCTGGAGCATGGTTTTAACAAAGTTAATGCAACACTTGTACAATATGTAGGCAAATTGGAACAAGCACAAACTTAAAACAGTTTTGTACTGCAGAAACAACCAAATATTACCAAGATGCAAAGAAAATTTACCATTGACAAGACTCCCCGGAGTCTCCGTCGAAAAGACCTGGCAACGACCGGTGTAACTCCCGTAAAACAGCAATCTCCCAGTCTTGAAGCGCCTGGAGACATTCCTAAGCACACACTTGTGGACATTTCTCGCAGAGCTCTCAGTAAAGGGAAAGTAAAATCTACTTCTTCCAAATTCAAGATTGTAGGTTAAAGACAACATTCTCAACAATCCGGCGCCCACACCAACCAAGCAATATCGAGAAAGATTTCCTTCAAATCAAGAACCCACTTCAGAAAGTTGCTTAATTTCCCAAATTCACGTGTAAGAAAGCCATTCTTGAAGCGCTAAAGTTTGAATCATTGAAGAAGAGCACCAAGAAATGAGCTCAAGCGAGTGGTATTCACTATTCAGAGAGAGGAGATAAGAAGTTGAAGATAAAAAATCAACTCGTATTTCCCAGAAGGAATTGTGAAACACATTGTCCTTGCCGCCATATGATGGTGTGGATCAAAGCAGACCACACATTAAGGTATAGTGTATGACTCTTGCTCCGGTTCGATTTTTTTTATTAAGAAAACTTGATTGATACTCCGTATTATTTTAAATTTAATTTCTTTAAATATACGGAGTAAATATTTATAATGTAAAATTTGTATATTAAATGTTCATAAAATAAGTAATACTCCGTAATATTTTTAGTCGGAACTGCTTCCTTTTATCATACGGAAAAGCTGCTTCTAGCCTTTGTTCTCTCGCAATAGAATCCTCCTCTTTCAGCGCCATCTCTATCATCCTCAAGCCTCCTTCTTCATCGGCTCTCCATCAGGTAAATTGATTTACACCTTTTCTTATTTTCCAATAATTTGTCTAGTTTTTTTTGGGATAAGGAAAATTGATTTACACCTTCTCTTATTCTCGATCGGCCCTTCATACCTAACTTTTCAGCCCATTGCAGCAATACCCTATGATTTTGGTTTACCCCAAATTTTTTTCCAATTCTCGTGTCTTTTTTTTTTTGCAATTCTTTCGATTTTTAATTTTCTTGCAATTCTTGGAATTCTTCCCATTTTTCAGCAATACCCTTTCAATTTTTTATTTTTTCCAAAACTTGTTCTTCCACACTTGTCTAGTTTCAGATTTATTATTCAATTTTTTTGGAAATTTAATTTTTCTATTGTAGTTGGTTTTTTTTCTGTTGCAAAATTCTTTCATTTTTAAATGTGTATATTCCAATATCATTGTTCTTCTTTTTATTGCCATGATAGGAATTTTTTGGAAATTTAATTTTTTTTATGTCTTAAATTAGCATATAGTTGGAATAGTATTTGAGATTGGATTATTTCCGGATTTAGATTCATACCTTGTGATTTGCTTATAGTAACTTGATAAGGAATGTGCACATATATTTGTTTATCTTTGTTTGTTTGCATATATGTGAAAGTATTTTATTTTAAGCAATTGATTGGTTTAAATTTTTCACTTTGTTAGATGGACATAGAAAATCAATACTTTCTTCTTCTGCGTCGGTGGCTTGAATTGCGTCAAAGAGCAATAGTTTTGCTTATTTGTGTTTTGGCACATGTACATGCCAATGAAATTTATCAAAAAAAAGTAAGATACACTTTGAGTGGCAAAAGAGAGAGGGTACGTGCAGAAATAATGAATAGAATTAGCAATTGTCCATCTAGTCAAAATATCATTAGAATGACTCCTAGAGCATTCTTAAATCTGTGTAGAATGTTAGAAAGAGAGGGTGGTTTAAAACCAACAATTTGGTCTAGTGTGGAAGAACAAGTTGCAAAATCTCTTTATATATTAACGCATAATGCTAAAAATCGTGAAGTAAATTTTTGGTTTAGACGTTCGGGTGAGACAATTAGTCGCCATTTTCATACAGTGTTGGTGGGTATCATTGCGTTGGGAGAAAAATTTGTTAAGCAACCAGATGGCAGTACCGTTCCTCTTGAAATTCAAAATGAAATTTTTTTTCCATATTTTAAAGATTGTGTCGGTGCTATAGATGGAACACATATACGTGTCAAGGTATCTTCAATTGATGCTCCGCGATATCGCGGTAGGAAAGAATTCCCCACCCAAAATGTGTTAGCGGGATGTACATTTGATTTAAAGTTCACATACATTCTCCCGGGGTTGGGAAGGCACTGCATCAGACTCAAGGATTATTAAAAATGCATTAAGGAGGGAAGATAAGCTTAAAATCCCCGAAGGTATTTTTTATATTTAAATTTAGTGCGGTTTTTATGTTAGTTAGAGATTTAAAAGTCATTATAGTAATTGTCATCATGCATGATAGGTAAATATTATCTCGTGGATGCTGGGTTCATGTTAACAAGAGGACTAATAACACCTTATCGAGGAGTCCGCTATCATTTGAAAGAGTATTCCAGGAGAAATCCGCCATTAAACTATAAAGAGTTATTTAACCTTCGACATTCAAAGTTGCGTAACGCCATTGAACGAGCTTTTGGTGTATTGAAGAAAAGATTTGTTATCTTATCCAATGGAACAGAGCCTACATATGGGATAAAAGTACAAAAAATGATAATATATGCATGCATCATTCTTCATAACTTTCTTATGAGTGTTGACCCTAATGATGAAATATTGAGAGAAGTTGATATGGAGCTTCTTAACCAAGATACTTCGAATGAAACAATTCATGCTTCGAGTGGTCAAAGTAGCGAGGCATCAGAAGGTGAAGCTATTAGAGAGGACATAGCAACTCAAATGTGGATTGATTACCAGAACAATGAGGCCGCTATTGAGAATGAGCTTGATGCTTAAAGTTGAATTGTATTAAGAAATGTTTTTACACATCTCATTTGCTTTTATCTCATCATATGTTTCAAAATGAGCTCCATGTTTATTTTTATATTTCTTGTACTAAACATATTACTTGTTTGATTTATATTACTTGTGATTTCATATTACTTAGCTTGGTTTGCACGCGTTTGCCTTGTATCTAACTTGGTCTGCAAGTGCACCCTTGTAAATAACTTTGTCTTATTACTTGTTATACTATTGTATTATGTGATAGGATGGCACCAAAAAAATGTAAGGACACAGTCACCTGGACGCGAAGCATGGATGATGCCTTGATTGATGCTTACATGGTTGAATATAATGAAGGTCGCAAAGTTAATGGCACTTTTTGATCTGTAGCTTATGATAATATTGTGAACTATGTTAGTTCAATATTTGGTAAGAAAATTGATAAAGAAAAGGTGAAGAATCGATGGAAGACATTGAAAAAAAAACTTCGCTGATGTGTATGATGTTTTCAAGAATATGAGTAGATTCGCATGGAATCCAATAACTCATTTGTGGGATGCTGAGCCTGAAGTTTGGGATGCTTTGATTAAGGTATTTTTTTTCAATTTACATTCTTATTATGTTAAAAAATATATCTTTTTGTGCTTATTGCATTTTTTCTTATTAGGCTAAACCTAAAGCAGCTGATTGGAGAAACACCCCTTTTCCAAACTATGAAAAGATGATGATATTATACAGAGTAAATAGAGCTAATGGAGATGAGGGGGAGACAATGCAAGAGTGGAAGAAGAGACATCGTTCTTCAGGGGATGGTATGGGGACTATTCACGATATTGATCTTAATAGTGACATATTTGTTGAAGATTACTCACCTAGGCAACGAGCTTCACCTGAAGACGGTCATTCTAGTCATGTTAACAATGCCTCCAGCAAAAAGCTAAAAAAGGCACCTCGAGAACCTGAAAGCTTCAAAGAATTGACAGGAGCAATTTATGCAATGGTGACATCACTAGACAAAGGCAATGAAGCAATTATACAAGGAAATTTGGTTTTACAGAGAGCTTCGGACAGCAAGAGAGAAGTGCCTCAATTGTCTGGTGAAGAACTATGCAGAATACTCGAAGAATGTGGGTGTGATGCTAACAAAATACCAGACATATATTGCTTCCTTATGAGTGATGATGAAAAGCTCAGGACTGCAGTCCAATCTCCGGTCTCAATTAGGAAGCAAGTGATAATGAAGATGTATTATGCTTCGCTCTAACACGTCATTTTATTTCGATATACTTCAAATGTTTTTGGATATGCTCAAAATACTTAGTTATATGTTTTTTTGCATGTTATTAGATATTAGAGTAAGAATAGATTTTATTAGAGTAAGTATAGATTTTTATTAGTGACAATCTAATTTTTGCAATGAATTTGATTTTATTTTTTCTCATATTCATATTTAGGAATATGTTTTCATTTACATTTTATATTACAATTATAGCCAAATTATGTTTGTTAAAATTATGGATAAGATGTGTTAAATTCATTTTATTCCCCCCCCCCTCTTCTCTCCAACCAAACAAAGTATCATGAAACCTTCCCTTTCCTTTTCTCAACCAAACAAAGTAAATGGAACCCTTCCCTTCCCTTCCCATTCCTTTCCGTCCCTCCCCTCCCCTCCCTTCCCCCCAACCAAACACAGCCTAAAGAATGAGCTTCCTACTATTCAAGCCAGTCGAAAGTTCCATAGTTATATGATTCTATTATTTTTACAAATAAATAAAATTAACTTAGAGACAAATAGCTAAAGAAGAAACATAATTCGATGCACTCAAAATGAAGATAAACATAGGAAAGATGGAGTTTTTCTTGCTTTTCGATATCAGTAGCATAATAATGCAATTTCATTTTAGAAATTCTATTAAAAGTAAAAGGAAACTTTCACAAACAAAAAAAAAAAAACGGAAACTTACTTGATAGCAATCCATAAGGTATTGAAGTACTTTTGTTTCAAAATAATTTTTTATTCATTTCTAGAAAAGAATCGAGTGGTTTTATAATTTTCTCATCTATATAATTCTTGATTATTATTATTTTTAAAACTTTGAAAATAGATGAAAATCTAAATTTGGATTCGAAAGAATATTAAGGAGTACTATTTTTATGTGAAACTATCTTCTTTTTTGAATGGTTAAGGACTAAGAGCACTAGAAATACCCGTGAAGCTCCGGGGATTCAATTTGGGGCTTCAAAATTTTTCTCTCAGCCACGTCAGCTTTAACTTACCTCACAGATTCAGTGGAAATGGGTTTGAAGCTCCGGGGCTTTAAATCTTCATTTTTTCCATTTTTAAATATACATCTTCTAAAACTAAATTAATAAAATTTAATTATTTTATTATTTAATTATATTGAAACAAAGATAATTAAAAAATTACATTCATTGAATTAAAATAATTTGAAGCGACAATAATTTTAAAAAATTACATTCATTAAATTAAAAAAAGAAAGCGACAATAATAAAAAAATACATTAATAAAAAAACTAAGGTAAATTATATTTGGCTCTGATCTCTTTTTGTCTTCTCTCAAAGATCATACGTTTGAAGGCCGATGTTAGGCTCTTTTATAGTCTTTAAATTCCCTTACATTTACTAATCTTTGGGTCACCATTAGTGAGAATTTGGTTTAATTTAAGATCAAGAAAGAACGTTGACCATCCTAGAGGTTAGAGTGCTATTCTTGTGTTATTTTAGGTCCATTGGGTTAATTGTTAGAATCGGGCTAGACGACCCAAAGTGAAAATAACCAACCCGGCCCATTAGTTTAGTACAAAAACTCAGGGCGTTGGTGAGAGAGACCAGTTACGGGTGAGAGGAGAAAGGAACGAGAGAGAGAGAAGGTGAGATCGAAGGTTCACCGGGAGAAAAATTCCGGCGACCAGACATAATCCGGCGAGCTGGACCTCGCGATCATCATCATTCATCACACAATCACCAAGCGCTCCTCCCGATCAGGCGCTGTAACCGAACAGAGGAGTCATCACGTTCGTAGGATTTGATCCTCGAACGCTGTCCATAGGTACTTCGTTGTTTTTTGTTTCCAAATGCGAG